TCAAGAAGCAATGGTTAGAGCCAGATATGGAACAATGGACTGGTTCCAAATTGGGAATGGAGTACATCAACGCTGTGTATTGTCATCCTGCTTATTTAACTTATATGCAGAGTACATCATGAGAAATGCTGGGCTGGATGAAGCACAAGCTGGAATCAAGGTTTCTGGGAGAAATATCAATAACCTCAGATATGCAGATGACACCACCCTTATGGCGGAAAGCGAAGAGGAACTGAAGAGCCCCTTGATGAAAGTGAAAGAGGAGAGTGAAAATGCTGGCTTAAAACTCAACATTCAGAAAACTAAGATTATGGCATCTGGTCCCTATCACTTCATGGCAAATAGATGGGGAAACAATGACAGACTATTTTCTTGGTCTCCAAAATCACTGCAGATGGTGACTGCAGGCATGAAATTAAAAGATGCTTGCTGCTTGGAAGAAAAGCTATGACCAACCCAGATAGCATATTAAAAAAGCAGAAACATTACTTTGCCAACAAAGGTCCTTCTAGTCAAAGCTGTGGTTTTTCTAGTAGTCATGTATGGATGTGAGAGTTGGACTATAAAGAAGGCTGAGTGCTGAAGAATTGATGCTTTTGAACTATGGTGTTGGAGAAGACACTTGAGAGTCCCTTGGACTGCAAGGAGATCCAGCCAGTCCATCCTAAAGGAGATCCGTCGTGAATATTCATTGGAAGGACTGATGTTGAAGCTAAAACTCCAATACTTTGGCCACCTGATGTGAAGAACTGACTCATTTGAAAAGGCCCTGATGCTGGGGAAGATTGAAGGTAGGAGAAGGGGACGACAGAGGATGAGATGGTTGGATGGCATCACTGACTCAATGGACATGAGTTTGAGCAAGCTCCAGGAGTTGGTGATGGACAGCGAGGCCTGGCGTGCTGCAGCCCATGGGGTTGCAAAGAGCCAGACATGTCTAAGTGACTGAACTGAACTGACCAGGGATTGAACCCTCATTCCCTGCACTGGAAGGAAGATTCTTAACCATTGGGCTACCAGGGAAGTTCCTTTATCTTCTTATTTATTATTTTGTATCCACAGGACCTATCTAAAGTTTAGCATACAGTGGTTGCAAAATCCATGAATCTTTCTCTGACTTTGAGCATGTCCAAACTGCTAGGGACTTTGTAAACTTCCAGGGACTTAATTGTAAAGTGGTGTAAAGAGAGGGGTGGTGAATGGAGTTGGTGTCAAACCTTCAGTGTTTGAAAAACAGACATGAACATTTGAATGACTGATGATGGCAGTGGTGGTTTTATTTTATTTTAATTTTTAATTAGAAGATAATTACTTTACAATATTGTGATGGTTTCTGCCGTACATCAACATGAATTGGTTTTAATATGGCTATCTTTGACCTAATCAAAAGCTCTGAAGATGGGTCATAGGATTTCTATGTTTTAAAATTTCCTGTTATGTTCACTAATGTTTAGTACAGTATCATACATAAAAACAATCTTTAAATGTCCCTTAAGAGGAAATGAAAAAATATATAATGTAACACAATTAAAAAATCTAAATTAAAGAGTAGAGCTACACATATAAACATTAATAAGTCTAAAGAACTTTTTTGAGAGAAGAAAGTTGCAGAGGAGGTATAAAGTATGGTACTATATAAAGTTAAAAAAAAACCGTGTGTATGTAATGGAAACATACTTATGTAGTAGAAGTGTCAAGTTCTAGATGGGAAAAATAAACACCAAGTTCAGGGCATTAGTTAACTTTGAGAGAGAAGAAGGGGATTAAATGGGAGCTTCATGTTTTTTTTTTTTTTTTTAATAAAGAGTAAAGAAATAAAGATTGTAATAGCAAACTTGGAAAAAAGCAACATGGAAAAAAAGATTTTTTTGAAAAGGTATTATCATCATTATTACTCATTATCATCATTATTCATGTTACTATTCTCTATACTTTTTCTGAATGCTTAAAATATTTCATTATAAAACAACTAAAACAAAATCCTCCTGATAATTGTGATGCAGACAGTTGGCATTCTTTCTAAGGGGATTTTAAATATATAAATATTTTTTCACTTGGCTGCATCAGGTCTTGGTTGTTGCACACAGGATCTTCACTGCTAGTGTGGGATCTTTGTTTCAGCATCAGAATCATTTTAGTTGCAGCCTCTGAACTCTTAGTTGCTGTATTGTTGTTGTTTAGTTGCTAAGCCATGTCTTCCTCTTTTGCCAACTCATGGACTATAACCCACCAGGCTCCTCTGTCCATGGCATTCCCCAGGCAGGAATACTGGAGTGGGTTGCCATTTCCTTCTCCGGGGTATCTTCCCGACCCAGGGATCGAACCTGTATCTTCTGCATTGGCAGACGGATTCTTCACCACTGATCCATCTGGGAAGCCCCCACCTTGTTGTTCAGTCACTCAGTCGTGTCTTACTCTCTGCGACCCCGTGGGCTGCAGGCGGCAGGGGAGCCCTCATGTTTACTCTTAGTCGTAGCATGTGGGGTCTAGTTCTGTGACCAGAGAATGAACCCGGGCCTTCTGCTTTGGGAGCTCGGAGTCTTATCCACTGGACCACCAGGGAAGTCCCTCTCAGGGAATTCTTGCCTTAGATATGTCTAAGGACCTTTCAGTTTTAAATATGTTTGTGCACAGAGAACTCTTACCCAACCACCCTCTCTTGTTCTCTTAAATGACACATGCCTGTTAGGATGTACCCAAGGTCTGTGGCTTCTCTGCATTCTGTCCTGCTGAGATGCAGCTTTTCTCATGTTTGTGCTGTTGGTGAAACCCACCCATCTGACGCGGCTTTAAGGACCTAGCCTACAAGGCTCTTCTCTGTTGTCTTCTGTTTTTTTTCTGGAAGGGGGTGGTTCTGACCTACAACTATCCTAATCTTAGAGCTCTAACCTTAGGGTCACCTCCTGCCCCCACCTTCCCTAAACTGCATTCATTTTCATAACACCTTCACTGACCCTTCAGTTCCATGGTAGGACTTAGTTGCCCTGTGAATCTTACAAATTTTCATCACCTCCCCCCAAGTATCATCATTTGCAGTCAGTTCTCTTATTACTCTACCTGCTTTCCAAACTTCCTTAAGTGTCCCTGAAGTTTAATCAGTAATGATGACACTTGTTGGTCTATGACTCAGGGAACGTTTAGAAGGTAGAAGTGGCTCTAACAGCTGGTGTCAACCAAACTTTTAAATTAAATTAGTTTAGAATTATTTTTAATATACTCTGCAGCATGAGTTCTAAACCAAGGGTAGGGACTTCTCTGCTATTCCAGTGGTTAAGACTCTGTGCTTCCATGAGGGGCTCACTTTCAGTTTCTGGTGTGGAGCTAACATCCCACATAACCTGTGGCCAAAATATTCTTTAAAAAATTATAATAAACCAAGGGTGAGGAACTTCCCTGGTGGTCCAGTGGTTGAGACTTTTCCTTCCAAGGCAGGGGGTGAGAGTTCAGCACCTGGTTGGGGAGCTAGGATCCCACATGTCTCGTGGTCAAGAAACCAAAATATAGGACAGAGACAATATTGTAAATTTAGTAAAGACTAAAAAAATGGTCCACGTTAAAAAAATAAATAAATAAACCAAGGGTGATCTTCCCCTTACTCTGCCCAGGGCCATTTGACAGTGGCTAGCAGCAGCAGCAGCAGAGACATTCTTGGTTTTCATGACTAGGGGAGTGCTACTGGCCTGGTGAGGGTAGAGGCCAGGGATGCTGCTAAACACCCCAATGCACAGAACAGCCGCACCCCCCCATAACAAGGAATTTGCCATCTAAAATGGGAGTAGTGCTGAGGTTGAGAAACTTGGCTCTATAGACCCTCATATGATGAATATCCCTCTATCAGTGAGGCAGAATGGATGGGGCTACAGTCCTATAAGTGTGGGGTTGTGGAACAGGGAGTGCAGGACTCCCTGTGGGGCTGTGCAGAGATCATTCCTGTTTTATCATCCTGGCAGGGTGAGGGCTAGGGAGGTGATGCTGTTGGAGATGGAAGATGGGAAGAGATGAAGTAGATTAAGGAAAAGCTAGAGAGGAACAAAGTCCAGGTACTTGGAAGAATAAAGGAAAGCTTATTCGGATGCCTTTGAACTTGGCACTTGGCTATGAATAACACTTTCATGCTACAGAAATGCAGGATAGCTTGCTTATTTTCAGATATTTCCAGTGTGAAAGGTGGTAGATAGTTGCAGTCATGGCCCCGAGTGACTCATGCCATCCTGTTTCCACCGGCCTGCAGTGTGATTCTTGCCATTCCTCTGTTCAAGAGGTGGTGTCTCTTTTCATCCCATGAATCTGGTCTGGCCTTGTCACTTGCCTTGACCTGAAGAATGTGGAGGGAGTGATGTTGTGTGACCTCTGGGGCCATTCAGCTTTGGCTTTCTCCCTGCAGGAACATTTCTACCGTTATGTGAGAACTCCCTGCCTGACAAAGCCTCTTTGAGGAAAAGGCCCAGACACCCAGTGTCCCAGCCCAGCCCAGCCCCTGCCAAAATTCCAGCTCATTGCATCTCTGCCAGTGAATGCAGATGAATCAGTGTATCCACCCAGCCAACCCATAGCATAGTGAGAAACAATAAATCGTGGCTATTTTAAGCCACTTGTCTTTGGGGTGGTTTGCTACACAGCAATAGATAATTGGACATTGTGCATGAGTGACTTCGTTTGGATGTTGTTAGAAGTTGTGGATGATATTTTGGTGTTAGAACGTGTGCGAATGTGCTAAGTCGCTTCAGTTGTGTCCAACTCTGTGCGACCCTATGGACTGTGGCCCGCTAGGCTCCTCTGTCCATGGGATTCTCCCGGCAAGAATACTGGAGTGGGTTGCCATGCCCTCCTCCAGGGGATCGTCCTGACCCAGGGATTGAACCGTGCCTCTCATGTCTCCTGCATTGGCAGGCAGAATCTTTAGCACTGGCACCACCTGGGAAGCCCTTGTGTTAGAATATGTGTATGAATATCAGACCATGGTTAAAAGACACTGAGTTCTTCCTCCTTTGCACTTGTAGCACTTCTCGGAGCTTCTGGATGAGTTCTCCCAGAACGTCTTGGGCCAGCTCCTCAACGACCCTTTCCTCTCAGAGAAGAGTGTGTCGATGGAGGTGGAGCCGTCCCCGACGTCCCCGGCGCCCCTCATCCAGGCCGAGCACAGCTACTCCCTCTGTGAGGAGCCACGGGCCCAGTCGCCATTCACCCACATCGCCGCCAGCGACAGCTTCAATGATGGTAAACCCAGAGTGGGGGAAGCAGCTGGGACCTTGGCATCTTTGGCCCTGACCTCCTTGAGGGTGCGGAGCGTGTGTCACAGTACCATCAGCACCTGCTTCAGCCACATACCTGCTGTGTGTGGCCTGTGCTTGGGCCCTGGGGGAATGCAAAGAGGCACAGAATGTAGCTCTACCTGAGACTGTGTGCTCTGGGAATTTGCTAGAACTGAATGGTACTAATTGCTCTTTTTGACCTGTGGACTGGGCAGCAAAGCATCCTTCCACATATCAGGTTGGCCTCTCTGGTTGCTGACTCCAGTACATCCACCATTTCAAGAGGTCATGCCATGTTTGTTTTTTTTTCCCTGAGAAAGAATGTTTATGACCACTCTTCTCCATAAACACTTCTTGGGTATCCTCTGGACCCATTTCCAACATGTTTCCTTAACCCCATGTATAGGAGATCTTGGCGAGCATTCCTAGACTTTCTTGTTGGTTACCCTTTCATGCCCATTATCAAGGCCATTAGCTTGGTATGTGTTGAGAGCTTGATTTTCCTGGTCTTAGAGATGTTCACATGTTTTTACCATTACTCCATAGGACTTTAGTTGGTACAGGCTCTATGAAACTTTTAAAATTTCTATGTTTGTTTTCCTAGAAGTATAACCACCTATTTTAGTATCTTGAGTAAGTTTTGAAAACTGTATCCTCTAATGTTAGTTTGGCATATGTTCTCTTCTCCCGGCAGGATGGCAGAGTGCAGGATGGTCCCTCACTTGATGTCCTCTGTCTTGACCTAGATGTCCCCTCCCCTCCTATACCACTCTACACATGACACATCTTGTGAAGTGACTACCTACAGGATAGGATGCCTCCTGCTTCCTTGGGTTAAAGGCACATGCCTGTGTTCACTTTACAAAGAGGCCATTAGCTTTGTGGGGGAATCCCTTCTCCAGTTGGGGTTCTTAGATCTATCACATGCATGCATGTGCATGCTCAGTTGTGTCTGACTCTTTCAACCCCCAGGCTGTAGCCTGCCAGCCTCCTCTGTCCATGAAATCTTCCCAGCAAGACTGCTGGACTAGGTCGCCATTTCCTCCTCCAGGGGATCTTCCCGAGCCAGAAATTGAACCCACGACTACTGCGTCTACTGCATTAGCAGGCAGATTCTTTACCATTGATCCACCTGGGAATCCCTCATAGATCTACTGTGCTGTGTGTGGGAAACCCAGGTTTCCCATATTGCAGATGGATTCTTTTACCAACTGAGCCACCAGGGAAGCCCAGGAATACTGGAGTGGGTAGCTTATCCCTTCTCTAGGGGATCTTCCCAACCCAGGAATCAAGCCAGGGTCTCCTACATTGCAGGCAAACTCTTTACCAATTGAGCTGCCAGGGAAGCTCCTTAGATCTACTAATGACCTCTAACAGAACCAACTCTGGGATCAGTAAAACATCTTATCTTGGGACAGAAAATGCTGCAGGTTTTTTCTTTCTCAGGCTCATTCTTCTTTTGATTAGAGGTCTACCCACAAACAGCCCAGAAACTTTGGCCTTCTGTCCTCAGTGAAGGGACGGTCCCAAATCTGTGGGTGAGTTCTTTCCTGACTGGACCCTTTGGAGCCCTAACTGTATTCTCAGATTTCTCCTGACAAGAGGTTAGATGCATGATGATCTAATCCTTCTTCTCTGTGGTTTCTCCACTGTCCCTGCCTCAACAAGGGAACAGGGTGAGGGAAGTCCCCTGGGAGGGACGGGAGGAAATACAGCTGAAATAATTCAAGGATGTGGAGCTGTTCTGAGGGTAACATGAGATGATGTGTTTAAAGAACCTGGGACAGTGCCCACCACATAGCATTTCAGTGACTCAGTGTTTCTTCCTCCTCTCCTCACCTCCTCTTTCTTCCTCTGTTGTTGCAGAGTTGTTATTGTTCGTTTTCCTGATCCCCTTCTTTTCCTCCTGCTTCTCCTCCTTTCACTCTTTCTTCTCCCCTCCTCTTCTCTCCATCTTTTTTCCCCTTTCAGTTTCTTATTAAATCATTTCCAGGAATGACCTCTGTTAAAATTCAGGGATATGGTCTCTGTTATGACTATATACCCTTCATTTTATTGTAACGTGGAGAACAACTATAGTCAGCCTTTTTCTGCATTTTAGCTTAGATTAACTCATGCAGTCCCTGCCTTAGTTGCCTTTTTTTTTTTTAATGGACTGTAGCACTAGATGGGAGATTAGACTAAATGACCTTTAAGATTTCTCTCAGTGCCGAGGTTCTGTGTGGATGTGGTTTCTGTTTAATGTTTGTAACTGCCTTTGCATATGGTTTTCCCATTCTCTCTCTCTTTTTTTAATATTTTTGATATGAACTATTTTAAATGTCTTTATTGAAATTGTTACCATATTGTTTCTGTTTTATGTTTTGGTGTTTTTGGCAGTGAGGCAAGTGGGATCCTAGCTCCACAGTCAGGGATTGAACCCGCAATCCCTACATTGAAAGATAAAGTCTTAAACACTGGACTACCAGGGAAGACACAACCCATATTCTCTTTACTGGTTTGCCTCTGTTATTCCTACAGTTCCTTTGATGCCTCTATTTCAAGCCCTACTTCCCTTTGTGGAAGTCATTTCTAATACCTCTTGTATAGCTTTTTACTTCTGTGTTAACAGATCTCCCAAAATTCGTGGCTTAAACTAGTAATAATCATTTATTACCTCTCATGATTTCTGTGGATCAAGAATTCAGGCCTTGCTCACATAGGTGGTTCTGGCTGTTGACTGAAAAAAACTCACAACTTAAAAGTTGAGAATTATGTTTTATTTGATGGACTTTCTGAGGACTGAAGCCTGGGATGCAGCTTCTCAGATAGCTCTGAGGTTCTGTTCCAAAGAGGTAAGGGAGGAGTCAGGTTATATAGGAGTTTTTGCAACAAAATCCAGGTAGTCAGAACATTCAAAAATTACTGTTAATTAAAGAAAAACCAGACATCTCAAGTTGGTGAATTTAGCATTTTTCTCTGTTTCAAGAAGATGAAAGAGCCTGCGCTCATTGAAATCATTCCTCTGATATGCACCTTAACTATCTAGAGCCAGTAACTTGTTCTTTCCCATCCTGAGTTCCTTCATGGCTCACTGTGTCCTCAGATGGTAGAAAGTACTGGAGCCGTGTGGGGACTGTTTTACAAGGGCATTAATTTCATTACAGAGGGCATCACCCTCATGACCTAATTATCTCCCCAAGGCCCAACCTCCTGTGACCATTACTTTGGGCATTAGAATTTCAGCATGTGAATTCTGGGAGGACACAAACATTCAAACCGTAGCAAAAGGAGAGTTGACATTTTAACTAGGATAGACAGGGAAGGCCTTTCTTTAAAGGTGGCATTTGAGCAAAGATCAGCAGATGAGGAAAAGAACTAGGTGTATGTGCAAGAGGCTTCTAGGCAGAGGGCCTGTGTCAGGGGTGTCAGGGGTGTGATAATAACATAGCAACACCTCTGTTGTATTCTGTTATCTGTGGAGCTAGTCAGCCATGCAGCAGCCTTGGTTCTAGAATGTGCAGATCAGAGCTGGCCTAAACAATGTGGGCAACTTTCCCCTTCAAATCCATGTTTGCTGAGCACTTACCATGTGTTCTAGATACTTGTGAGACAATGATAGTAAAACTTGGTGTGTACTAAGTCACTTCAGCCATGTCCATCTCTTTGCAACCCTATGGAGCCCGCCAGGCTCCTCTGGCCATGGGATTCTGCAGGCAAGAATACTGGAGTGGGCTGCCATGTCCTCCTTCAAGGGGATCTTCCCAACATAGAGATCGAACCCACATCTCTTTATTTCTCCTGCATTGGCAGGTGAATTCTTTACCACTAGCACCACCTGGGAAGCCCAGTAAAACTTAGATTCTTACCTCAAAGTAGCTCAGAGTCTAGGGAAGATACCATGTGCCCCAATACTTGATCAGACTGAATACGAGCAGTGTCCTGAGAGGAAACTGTAGCAACTCAGAGGGGAGAGAGCATGCCCAGTGATGACCACAGGAAAAGTTGCAGGAACGAGGCAGAATTTGATTTGAGCCCTGAAGGGTGGTGATGGTTGGAGGGAAGCAGATAGTGGACACAGGGCTAGGAAACTGATTCTTCTAAAACAAAACCCTGAGTGAAATGATTGCAAATAAGCAGTTTTCCAAAAGTTCAGGATCCCCTCCTCTTCCTGATAACACTTTTTTTTTTTTGCTTTCTAATGCTAATCAGTATACATGTAGCATAAAGGAGCCACCTACTTATAGCTTAGTGTGGGGAGAAATGATCAATCTTTTTCAGGAAGCTTTCTTATCAGACCAAAGCACACAACATTCACCTCCCCCATCTGGCCCCTCCTATTTAGAGGTGCTATAATGCCATACACAAGGAATGTTGCCTGCCGTATCAGTCAACAAAAGGTGTTGTGACCATCAGCCAGACTATGCCCATTAAGGAGGTTCAGGATGGAAAAAAGCAGGATACTGGCCCTAGATAGGTAAGGTGCATATCAGAGGAATGATTTCAATGAACCCAAACTCTTGCATCTTCCCATATAAAGAAAAGTGCTGAATTCATTTACTTCAGGTGTCTGGGATTCTTTAAGACACAATAATCTTTTGATGTTCTGACTACCTGGTTTTTGTTGCAAAAAATTCCTGTACATCCTGACTTATCCCTCACCTCTTTGGAGCAGTCCCTCAGAGCTGTCTGAGAGGTTCTCTTCTGGACCTAAGTCCTCAGAAATCTGCTGAATAAAACAGATTTCTCAACTTTTAGGCTGTGCTTTTTTTTTGGACTGCACTGCAATAGGCTATGCTGGTAATTTGCTGAGAATAGGTACAGTGGGTCAGATATATTTTGCAAAGAGTTTCTGATCCACAGTTCATCTTAAGTATCAGTTTTTCTCTGAGTAAAGGCTTCCTATGCTAGCAAAACCCCTTTTGTATGCAGGGAATAATGAGTGTGAACAGTAACCATTTGGAGTATGTGAAATCAGAGGTAGGC